AATCCGCCCATAACTCAACACAGAAGTTACATTGTTGTGATGCTCTTACCTTGGCAGGTGACTTGTAAGGTACCACTGATGATGCCGAAGCAGTTTGATGGCTGGTGCTGGTATAGAACTGGTATTTATAAAGGTGCGATTGGGCCGTTATTAGCCAATCAGCAATCATGTGGTTATTGCCAGTCACAAAATTTCACCACAACGTGGGTGTTTGGTTTGATTATGATGCCGATTTCCTTGATCCAGCAGGAATTTCAAAACCCATTTGCAACATGGAACTGTAACACTCGGGCGTGAGAGAAGTGTACAGGTAATGTGAAGAGAAGCTGGCTAATCTCACCCCCAAATCAGTCCCCATCCAGCTCCGTCATGCACCAGAACAGAACAGAACAGAACATAATAGAATAGAATAGAATAGAATAGAATAGAACAACAACCTGACACACAGGAACGACACTGTCATTAAATTAGCAACTATACTCTGTCTGCATCCTAGCAAAGGTATAAAAGGTAAATAAAACAAAATAAAAATAAATACACTGCTCAAAAAAATTAAAGGAACACTTTGAACACATCAGATCTCAATGGGAAAAAAATCATGCTGGATACCTATACTGATGTGGACCAGGTAATGTGTTAGTAATGAAAGGATGCCATATTGTTTGATGGAAATGAAAATGATCAACCTACAAAGGGCTGAATTCAAAGAGATCCCGAAAATCAAAGTGAAAAAATGATGCGGCAGGCTAGTCCATTTTGCTGAAATTTCATTGCAGCAACTCAAAATCGTACTCAGTAGTTTGTATGGCACCCACGTGCTTGTATGCATGCCTGACAATGTCAGGGCATCCTCCTAATGAGACGACGGATGGTGTCCTGGGGGGTCTCCTCCCAGTTCTGGACCAGGGCATCACTGAGCTCCTGGACAGTTTAAGGTGCAACCTGGCACCGTCGGATGGACTGAAAAATATTGTCCCAGAGGTGTTCTGTTGGATTTAGGTCAGGCGAGCGTTGGGGCCAGTCAATGCTATTAGTTCCTTCATCCTACAGGAACTGCCTGCATACTCTCGCCACATGAGGCCGGGCATTGTCGTGCACCAGGAGGAACCCAGGACCCACTGCACCAGCGTAGGGTCTGACAGTGGGTCCATGGATTTCATCCTGATACCCAATGGCAGTCAAGGTGCTGTTGTCTGGCCTGTAGGGGTCTGTGTGTTTTTTCACTCGCACCATGGCATTTAACCTATAGGGGATTTGAATTTTACATATCAGACCGTTGAACTTCATATATCAGGACACTGAATTTGATTTATGGGACTTTTACATTTTATATATCGAGGCTGGAAAATTTTGTGTATAGGGCCAG